AATCAGAAGAGAAGATATGTCTACAGATAAAACAGATATACGTGATGAAATTACCGAAATTTTGCGAATATATTACATATAGTTTGATATACAAGTTAGTGACTCGAAGGATGCAATCACAGGAACACGAAATAAAAGAAATGTCGCGAGCGTCATGTTGACGAGAAAGAACGTAGGATTATGATAACACACATAACATCGGTCGACGATGCAACTTCGTTCTGGTCGTGAGATCATATTTATAAATCGAGTCGCGGAACGATGATGGAGAATCTTTGAATATCTCTTCTCTAAAATTAGGAGGATGGTCGAGGAACGGTTTCGAAATTCTCGCGGCCCATTTCGAGGTCTGGAAATATCACGAGAACGGGCATGAAAAACACATCATCAGGGCACGAAATTTCCAACTTCTTGCTGAGAAGATTCGACGAAATCGACGAGAAAAATTTGGAAAATATTCCACGAAAATGGACGACGAAGAGAGAAACCTTTTTTTAAAGGCAAAAACAATTTCGAATTCTGGAATGAATATTGGAAAAATTTATATTCTCGTACACGAGAACGATCGAGAAGAAGAAAGTATACGGTTCTTTGAGGTGGAATTAATTTAAAAAGGAGATAAAATTTGCGTAAGAAATAGGTTATAATTAAACAGTAACTGTTATTCAATTCTATTGTTGTCAATTGCTGCATGCAATTCTTGCATCTATTAATATTTTATTGGAAAATTGCTAATATTAACTATTACTCGTAACATTAACTATAAAGAACCTTTATTATTGCTTGCAAAAATATATCTGTAGATATATTATTCCGATTGCATAATAACGTATAATAAAACAGGAATAATTTTTGCAATTTAACGATCATTCAATTTTCTCGTATCTTCTTAGAGCGTAGATAGTAAGCTTTCTTCCTCATAAATTTTAATCAATAAAATTATATTTGAATTAGAAATAAAATTATTAATTATTAATATTATTGTTTACAGTAAATTTCTTTCAAACCGTTTATACCGTTCCTGATGTTACACCGATGATTTCTAATCCATCTATCTTATCTACACCTCTCTTGTTTACATATAAATGATCAGAAAAATAAACTTATGAAACCAATAAACCACTCGCCATTTATAAACGAGCCACGCACGATTGGAAAACACTCGTTCAACTCACTTTTTTACCATACCATTTCGAAACGATATCATGGATATCGACGTCTAATAATAAGAAAAAAATTCTGAATTTTAAAAAATTAAGAGAGAGAGAGAGAGAGAGACACCTATAAATTCCAGTCAGACAAAATTATCCTATTCAATTATAATACTCGCAGTGACTAACTATGGTAATGAATAATCAAGTTTCGATATTAACATATATACGTAACGAGCAGAATAACACGAATACCGTAAGTACGCAATTAAACGTGATCCTCTTATTGTTTTATTATTCGCATAAATTTCCCTCTTCTCTCTCTCTCTCTCGAATCATCGCCACGAGGCTAACAATTTTTCAATCAGTCATCGTCATCGCCTTGTACATCATCTTCCTCGAGAATATTTTTTCCCTTTCGGAAATATCGAGTATCAATGCTGATCATCCTCTCAAATCGGATCGGCGGAGAGACAAGAAGCGAATTATATTTATGCCTTGCACAGCCGTGCCGCTAACTCGAGGTATGCGCTCGCCAACACACACGTATACGGTTAAATATACGCCTGTATAGATGTAGGTGTAACACATCGCGAACATAACCTTATTAATCTTGTTCCATTCCACAGCCAAGTCCGGAAGTCGTTCGAGGTGGTCCGAGAAGAACATCGCCCGTCCGTCGTCGCTCGCCTGAATTCTTTTGCCAGAGTATTTTTGCCTCGTACTTGTTGCCTATCCACGTAAAAGAAAGAAAGGGTCGATGTTTTCATCTATTTTCTTTCTTTCCTTCCTTCCTTCTTTTCTTATCTTTCTTTCTTTCTTTCTTCCTCCCTTTCTTCCTTCCTTCTTTCCTTCCTTATCTTTCTCTATATATTTTATTACTTCGTTATTTCCAGTTTTTTGGTCGATTAACGATTATTTTTACGCATGAGCGAATCCACCAACACATGACAAAATTGTATAGGAGTTTGTGAGATATATAAATTTTCGTTATGTATATGTATTTATTACAATATATACGTATTTATTACAATAATTGAATCGCTAAGAGGGAATATTTTCTATTATATCGAGAGAATTTGTGTGTGTGAAAATATATTTTCTTTTTTATAAAAGTGACGTAAGACATTGCCAAGAAAATGTTTCGTACAAACGTATCGTGGAGATGACGCATGTTATTGAGCATTGTCGCTCGCAGACAATCACTGGCAACAAAAGTGAACGTGCAATTTATGTTTCCATTTTTCTTTTTTGGAAAAAAAATTACTGATGATTTTTGAATATATAAATAATATTTATTTAAAACGATTTCAAAATTTATAATTTCAATCCTCACGATCATACTATACTTTTATATTATTTTTGTATTAAAGGCACCTCGTTTCTTGGTCGATGATTCGAAACTTTATTTTAGCTACTCAACGATAATATACGAGTATATGCACGTTCAAAGAAGAACATGATTTAAAAAAACACGGTAAAAGAAGAAAAAAAAAAGAAAGAGTGATCTAAAATCAAAAACGGAGGAGGCACAAAGGAGTGGATTCGGCGAAATTTCACGAATGTCCACAAAAACTAAAATGACGGGGGATTGATTACGCCTCTCGTAATTCCAAGAAGCTATGGTTCCAGAGATAAGATCGGGAGTAAACATCATCCAGATGGAGAGCATCGTTTCCTAAAATGCGAAGTGAGTAGACCGCTTGTCCGATCGTCGAACTATCAAGGAAATGAATCATTAAATGAGCAAGGGTCGTGGCAGAGATTAAGATTAATTGCCGGAGATGTCAAATCGAATCCCGTGATGATCCATGAATATGAAGGATGATCCATAATTATGGTATCACGAGGAAGAGGCATGGTTGAAACGTAGAAACATTTGGAATAATTATAGATTAGAAATAATATTTATCTCTAGATAAAAAAAAAAAAAAAAAAAGAAGATTTTAAAAATTATTCGGGAAAGGGGTGATTCATATTTGGGGGGTGGGGGGAGAAGAAGAGATTAAAAAAAATTTAGAATAGTTATATAGATTTGAAATAATATTTATCTCTAAAAAAAAAAAAAAAAGAAGATTTTAAAAATTATTCGGGAAAGGGGTGATTCATATTTGGGGGGTGGGGGGAGAAGAAGAGATTAAAAAAAATTTAGAATAGTTATATAGATTTGAAATAATATTTATCTCTAAAAAAAAAAAAAAAAAAAAGAAGATTTTAAAAATTATTCGTGAAAAGAGTGATTCATAATTGTGGCGTTGTGAGAGAAGAAGAGATTTAGAAAAATTTAGAATAATTGTAAATTATAATAATATTTATCTCGAGATAAAAATTATGTATTATGTATAAAGTAGAAATTTATCTATCCATAAATATAAAGAAATATCTATAAAGAGATTTAGAAAAAAATTTAGAATAGTTATATAGATTTGAAATAATATTTATCTCGAGATAAAAAAAAAAAATATTTTAGTAGAAAGTATCTGAAATTATCTACAAATGATAGATTGTTCTGTTGCAGAGATAAAGAAGAATGAATTGATTTTATTTGCGACTATATTGTTGAAATTTAATTAATACGAATCCATACATATTTCCAAATATAAATATTTACGCAAAGTATTTTTAAGTATGATTAAAAAATAAAAAAAAAAAAAAATGATTTAATTAAAGAATTTTTTGATGCTTAATACAGGCTTCAACTATTCCGTCCAACATCAATCGTCCTAGTTTCATAAAGCTAGAAGACTTGTTATGACTTCGTGACATTATGATATTATGCCCCTGTTCTGTCATCGGATGACAACAGACTTAACACAGCCTGCTTTCAAACGTAAATACGTTATTCGATTTGATCGAATGACTCACGCGGTCTATCTCTCATCTTATCGCCAAGTCTATATTTCTAAAATTTCGTAGACACTCCCCTTCGAACCTTCATAAATTCATTCTTTCAAAAATACATTCATTTGTGAATGTATTTCTACGTATAATACTCTCTATCTATATAATGTTGATATATCCGTGAGACCTTTCGATGTCTAGAAGAAATCTAAACAAACACATATACGAAAATATCGCTTGAAACTTACTTATTACATTTATAAGCATAAATTGAAGTTTAATATTTATTTTGTTTCGATTATTATAATCCATAAAACTAACCTCTAAAGAGGTTAGTTTTACACGAATATATCAACACTCTGTATATTTTTAATTAATCAACAAAACCTATTTTTTTTTCAACAATCATTAGACAAATGTCCTGTTGGAAAAACAATTTTATAATTAACAACGCATTCCTAAACATCCGCCGTGTTCTCTGAAATACCTTCGAACGATCACGTTCCCACATGCCGATCGAGTTTCCACAGCGGGAAGCGGTTCGTTGGAAGAAGAGGGATACGATAAAGGTTAAATGACTCCGTTTGCCGTTATACACCGAATACAATTAGGTCAAATTACGTCAAAACGAGACGGAATGGGGCGAGAGTGAAATTCGATTAAGAGCGAGGTAGGGACGAATCGCATAGGGGCCGATGATCGGAATGTAGGCGCGAACGAGAGTGAAATCCTATCGATCGAACGAATCGAGAAGCCTGATTAGAGTGAAATTAGATGCGACACACCGCCGAGAAGATGGACGATAAACGACGAACGTAAATGGCACACGGAATTAACGTCTCGTAGCGGGACGTCTCGTCGAAAGGATTAAGTGAGACGTAGCTGGAATTAAATGGAAAAGGATCGAGATATGTTAAAATGAAAAAAAGTGGGGTGAGGGGAAGAGGCAAGAAATTTTCGAAAAATTTTACGAAAAGCGAGAGCAAGTTCGGTTGAAAAGATTGTATTTGTTGCGAATCGTTGTGGTACTATTGTAATTTTATCATTCATTATCGCAGTTGTGCGATAAAGAAATGTTTAAAAAAAATCGGGAGAGGAGTGGGTGAAAGAGCGTGTTATTCTCCGGCAGCTGTTCAATTGTGACCGCCATTACGAAAGCCTCCTCCGTCGGTATCGCTGACCTCGTTATTGTTGTCTATTTAGCGGGGAAACCTACCACGGAAACGAATTCGTGGGACGTTTATAACGTATATTCAGAGAGAATGTATTTTCACAATCAAATAAACTATTCGAATACGAATTTTAATCACACTTGCATAATCGATCCGTAAATAAATCAGAATATTCATATATATATATATGTAGAAAACATATATAAAATTTCACGATACAGAAATAGACTTTGTAAGACGATTATTCATTCAACATAGGTAATGAAAATCCGACTGAACGTGTTAAACGCATAAGGCATTGCAAGTATAACGTAACTATAATCATTGGTAACTATCAACGATACGGCCAAGTAGAAACTGAAGATCGAGGCGTATAAGGTTATGTATATGTATGTATAGATTCCTTTCATAATCCGCTAATTATGTAAGACATATTACGTTATAGGCTTTCGAGCAACGTCTGCGCGATTTTGCACCCGAGGTTAGATTACACACCACACACCGATATAACCGCACACGCGTATCGCGAATTCTAGGTTTATTGTTCCTCGCGTGCGAAAAAATATCTTCGCGAAACATTCGTCCGTTGTCTTCTCGTACAATATACCGAACGAAACGTTCAAATAAACGACAATGGAAAAGCTAAATGGTGTCGACATATTTTCCACCGCGCGGAAAGATAAATGTTTACGTGCGTCGAAGCCATAGAAGGCGGCACAAACCGTGATTCATACCGGGCTCTATATGTCCGCGCGAAATCGTGTAAACAATTGGTGAGGTCAAAGTCAACGTCGATCGACGCGCAACACTTTATTCTTCGTTCTCGACGTAAGGGACGAAGTTTCTCTTCTCGTTGTCGATCACGTTACAAATGAAAAAGAAAAAAAAGACAAAAAGAGAAAAGAGAAGATATTCGCATTACGATATAAAATATTTTACTCGTAAAAAAATATATTACTCGTAAAAACACCACGTGGCCGTTCCATACAAAATATCACATCGATCGAAACACTCACCTAATATTGGAGGTACTTCGTTGAACGTCGGCGACAGTTCTGCCATTCCCGGTGTCCTCGGCTCTACTCTCGGCAACAACGTTCTGTTGTTGTTGTTGTTGTTGTTGTTGTTGATCCTGCTTTTGCCTCTCCTCCTCCGGAGGATGTAACGGAATGATGATATAATCCGGCTCCTTCTTAACCTTCTCCTCGCCGGTCACCTTCGCGCGATTCACTTGGCCGATCGTATCACTCTTTTTTTGCACCTCGGACCGCGGCACTTTCGATCTACCACTGAACCGTAGCCTCGAGAAACGTTGAAGAAATCCACCCAATCCACCCTTTTTCCTCTCCTCCTTCACGGTGGTCGCGGACGACGCGTCGACGACCATGTTTCGTTGAAATCTTGCCGCGGACGTGTCGTTGTTCCCGACGGTTGGCCCAACGATGACGGGTGATGCCGGCGTGACGAACAGCCGCGGTTTCGCGTTGGTTGTGGTGGTGGTGGTGGTCGTGGTGGCCGACATAACAGTCGCCGCGTGGCCCTCCTCCTCGTTGTCGTCGTCGTTGTCGTTTACCCTAACCGGCGCAGTTGTTGCCGCCGCGTTCTCCTCGTGACGTTTGTCGCGATCACCGCGATGATTC